AATTAAGATCTTAGGAGGAAGAAAAAGAAAATAGATGTACTTTTAAAATGTTCTTGATGACTATGGTTTATTTTGGCTCAGTGGGTTTTAGCTTTATGATTACTAAAGGTGTCTATAAATATAAGACCGTGACATCTAGCTGCAGACAGGACCGAAGTGTGTCAGAAAGACAATGTAGAAAAGCTTGTTTCTTGCCTGCCTACAGCCTCCTTCATAGCCCGAGAAATCACTTGCAGGCACATTGGATTAACTTCAGAAAGGAATCTGAATTACAGTCTCTTTCAGTTGCCTAGAAGACTAATAACACATTAGCATCTCAGGCAGTCCAGTTAGCAGGAAGCATTAACTTAAATCCCAAAACCTGATAAAGTTGGACATTCTGCATAACTAACAAGAAGTAGGGAATACTAAGTAGCTCACCTTTAGGACTGTCTCAGACACATCTTTCTGTAGTTCTTCCAAGAACAATAAAAATTCAGTTTCTCTCTGAAGAACAACCGGAACAGTTTTCTGAAACAATATAAGAGAATGGGAAAGACATTAGCCAATTAAACTTTTATTTATATACACTACTATATAAACCTAATCTTAGCTGTTTCATTAACATTTTGAGACAGACTGAAATATCTCTCTGAAGATACCAAATACTCAATTAAAGGCTATTTAACAATTAGGTTGTGCTCCCGCCCCACTGGATTCCATTTATCTATACATTTGGAAACAGAGACAAGTCTCACTTTGGCAGAAATTACAATCCCATCAGTTACAGACATCTTTTCTCAGAATGTAAAGAAAAAATGCAAGTCTAAGTAGTGACAAGGACAAATAAATTAATTAAAAAAAAAAGTACCATCATATATCCCAGTGTACCAATCAAAAAAAAAGAGAAAAAAAGACTGCTTCTTCCTTTACTCATGAAACATACTGCACTTGTCTGTCTGAAAACAGCAATATAGCAAGCACATCCCTCACCATCTAAAGTCTATAAAGAATTGTCTGATGCCTGAGCTATTTCACCTTTGATGTAAGAAAGGTGCTACAAAATGCAGAAGTCAATACACTCATGCTTTCTATTTACAGAAATGTTCAATGCTAAAAAGCCAACTTCTGTTCCCCATTTTTCGCTCCAGTGTGGAGATTAACTCGACATGCACCTCTCCAGCTACCTTGGGAACATAATTCCATGAAACATGGGAAAGCCTATAATTTAAATAAGCAACTATGTGTTGTGTTAAATAAGCGAAACGTGGACATTTTGCACTTGGAAGTCACCTAGAAGTCAAAGCCATAAGTCACACTTGGAAGTCAGCTAGATGGTTCTGTACCTGATTCCTGGCAAGCCATTTTTCCAGCACAAGAAGCCAAACCCATGCAGTTCTCCATGGGCTAGAATTCCGTCCCCATCTACAAAAGCAATAAGCACATATGCTGGATTATACAAGGTTGTGCCCATCTCTAAGACCCAGGAAAACACCGTCAGAGGTCATTTTGATTTTTGTATTTATTTGTATAAGATAAAGATGACTAAATAGTTGAAGACGAGTCAGACTGGAAGAGAATGCAGAGAAACCAGAATATTGATACTACTTACACATTAACTCAATGATTTCTGCTATGCAAATAACTGCTTTTAGATCTGCCAAATACTAACACTACTGCCACAATTGTTTGCTTCAAAAACCATGAAATTTATTTCTGGTCTAAAGTTCAGTCTGTGTAGCCCTCTTCGAGCACTTCAGCAGATTTCTTTGAAATCTGACCACTTGCCATACACAGCTATTTCCTGTTCTGTCTAGTTCTACCTGAAAAAATGAAACTAAGTTTTAGGTCGCAGCAGCACAAGTACAGCATTATGTCCAAACCAAAAGTGAAGTAACGTACTAATTAAAGAATACTTCTAATTTCCCTCAGCTTTTCCTGTACTCCAGTCCTTTACACACACATTCCAAAACCTACCCAGTTAAGGAACATAATCAGTACTGTCAAATGAACAAGGAAAAGGGAAAAGCCCAAGATAGCTTATTAGCCTTTAAAAATATCAACACAGCCAACTAAAGCCTTTAGATTTGATAACATTTTTTGATCTTTTTATCTTTGATAGCTGGGCTATGTTTCACATGGCCACTAGCAGTATTCATCTAACCACGTGCACACCTTCCTCCAGACTCCTTTAACTGCTGTCAGTGTAAAATGTTTCTTCAAACCTTTACCAAAAGGTTACACAAATTTTAGTGTGAAGAAGTATGACCATCTGCTTGGAGAGGGGGAACACCAGTGTTCCCTGAAGTGCTAAAAAACACCCTTTATATGCACCTCCATGAAAAGCAGAGATCAAAAGTAACTAGGATTGAGTAAAACCGATGCCATTTTAAAATCCAGTGTGAGATAAATAAGAAATCAATAGCATAATCTGAAATTTTTAGCATTTAAATTTTTATAAATTGGAAGGTCTTTCAACACCTGGAAACAAGAGAACATTAAAATAATTACAGTGATGATCTTGGAGGTTTCATTTTGTTGTGGTTTAACCCCAGCTATCAACTAAGCACCATGCAGCCACTTGCTCACTCCTTCCCCACCTCTCAGTGAGATGGGGAGGAGAATCAAAAAAAAAAAAAAAAAACTCATGGGTTGAAATAAAAACAGTTTAGTAGCTAAACCAAAATATAAAAATAACCATAGTAAAATAAAATCATAATAATCAAAAGGAATATAATTTTAAGAGAGAAATAAAGACAAGTGATGCACGATGCAATTGCTCACCACCCGCTGCCCAATGCCCAGCCAGTCCCCGAGCAGCGATCGGCCCCTCCCAGCCAACCCTCCCCCCCCTCGTTTCTATACTGAGCATGATGCCCTATGGTATGGAATATCCCTGTGGCTAGTTCGGGTCAGATGTCCTGGCCATGCTCCCTCCTGGCTTCCTGTGCCCTTGCTCCCTTGCAGTGCATGGGAAACTGAAAAATCCTTGACTTAGGATAAGTGCTACTTAGCAACAACTACACCATCAGTGTGTTATCAATCTTATTCTCACACTGAATCTAAAACATAGCACTGTACTTGCTACTGGGAAGAAAATTAACTCTATCCCAGCCAAAATCAGGACACATTTCTAAATTAACCAAAGCTCAGTGTCAAAAGAATGTAATTTCAGAAGATGTTCCTTCTCCTTCCTGTCCTTCAGTAAAATCTAACAAAATCAGTTCTGAAATGCTTCCAAATAGTTTTAAGCCTGTATCAATCACCATGTCAACTGCATAAATGAACACAGGTCATTATCCAGTGGGCTGGGCAGCCTGAAAAGTGCTTGGGCAGTGATAAGATGCCAACATGCATGTAACAGCATGTCTAGACACATCCAAGCCACCTCAGCACCAAAGCAAGTGCTATTTCCCAGATTCTACCTGTCTCCCAGAGTCACCACTGAACTAGTTGCTGCTCCTCATTTCACACTCAAGCCTATTGAGCCAAAACAGTACCTTACTTACCTCACTGCCCCAGGACAAGCTACCAGAGCCTGAAGAATTGCTTCCACCTTCTCAGGGCCATCCCCGTGCCACTGGCTCAGCTGGGGCACACAGGCCTGTGCAAACTCCCAGTCTCCATGCCGCACGCACTCGCAGAAGAACCCAAAGAGTCGCTCCAGAGAGACCGCTTCTTCATTTCCGAAAGACTGCATCTTCCCAGGGCGAGCGGGTGACCTGTGGCTGGCTGACACACGCGAAGGCGGATGCCGTGAGGGCGCGCTGGGGCACCACCCCGCATTTCTTCTTCTCACCGAGAGCGGGGCCAGGCCTCAGGGGGCTTCCTCCCACAGCGGCGGCGGCGGGGGGGGGGGGGGGGGGAGAGCGGGGAAGGCGCCAACAAACTGCCGCTTGGCCATGACCGCCCCGCCGCGGCTGCGTGGCCCGGGGGTGCCCAGCCCCGCGGCATGCTCCCGCCGCTCCCCACCGCCGCGCAAGCCCCCGGGCCGCCCGTCCCGGCGCGGAGGGACCGTTTCTGCGCGCTCTGCCCCGCACCCGCCCGCGGCCTCGCCCTCCTCCGCGAGGCCCGTGTCCTGGCACAGCCCGCATTACCTGGCGGGGCAGGACGCGGCCACCCCGGCGACGCCGGGCTCTACTGTACCGCCCCGGCAACACCGCCCCTAGCCGCCGCCATCTTGGGCGCCGCCTCAGCTGACGGCGCCACCAGGCGGGCACGCGGGCAGACACCCGCCCATTGGCCGAGCTAGGGCCCAATGTAAATAAACCGCCATTTTTCTTCGGGGCGCCTGACGCTGCCTCAAGGGTCCGGGCAACGGCAAGCCCCGCCCTCCCTCTAACCACGCCTATCGACACGCCTCCATTTACCCCCGCCAGCTCCGCCCCCTGCTCGGGCCTCTCGTGGTTTTGATTGGTTTCCTCACGAAGCTCCGCCCCCTGGCGCGCCGCGGGACCGGCGGGGCAGCGAGGAGGGGCGGGGCGAGGCGGGGGTGACCCCTGACCCCTGGCCTGAGCGGAAGGCCACTTAAATGTGTATTATATGCACCTATATACACGTGCATATAGAGGTATTCATATGGGATATATACATATATATGTGTGTATTTACCCGTTGTGTATGTGTCTCACACTCTGTGTATACCTCTATATAGGTAGGTCTATAGAGGGTTACAAGTTACATATTTACCCCTTTAAGAAAGGACAGAAGTGATACCAAGATAAATAAATGATGTGCTGTTTATATGTATTACATATACAAACACAACGTTATTCATGTGCACACATAATTTGAAATACGTAAAAATGTGGAGGTACAGATCGAGATCCAGCTACGGACATCGTCTGGCCAGGCACTGGTGTGCAGGGTGGCAGTGGCCGGCCTGCCCCTGCAGTCCCCTTGCCCCCTCACCCACACCGGCCGTGTTATTTGCGAGCTTCCCGTGGTGGGATGGGACGAGGCAGGGAGGGCCGTGACTCAGCTGCACGGCTGGGTGGTGTCCAGCCACTGTTTGGCAGAGATAAGTCCCCCCTCAACATCCTCCCTTTATTCCGGGCTTTTTGTTTGTTTTTGTCCTGACACACAAAACAAAAATTCCTCCAGGGACTGCTGCGGCGGGGGCAAGTGTAAGAGGCAGAGCGGTGATGATGGAGGAGAGGTGTCCCAAAGTAAGTGACCGAGTCCCCAGGGCTCCTGAACGGAAGATACGGGAAGGGGGCTATGTCCGCGTGCACGTGCTGAACCCACCAATAAGCTGTGTAAGACGCTACAGGAGTTTGTGCCATTACCTCCTATGGCATCCTGAGTATTCTTCATCAGTATTGTCAACTCAGTGTCGGGAGAGGAATGGCGCATGGGTAGTAATGCTTCGGAACTTACTTCAGCCATGCTGGACAAGGTTAAGTGTTGAAAGCATGTGCTTGTCATTGATCTATTTAGCTCTGACTCCCTGTGCCTTTAATGATGGTGCAGCTCAGCGCAAACGATTTCTCAACCTACACTTTCAATTTGGGGTATTATTTTGTATCTTGTCTCTTGTGTAGGCAAGGAAGGAGATTTAGTGGGACACAGGACCTGTATGAGGATGAAGTTCATTTAGCCTGGGATCTTTTATGCCTATTACCCAATCTCTAAGTGCTTTATCCAGTTTAAAGTATCTCCTTACAGTCAGACTCCTTACTTGAGGAGCTGCTCCCTCAAGTAAGACATGTCAGGTAGCCGACACTTTTCTTTTGTTACAAAGTTCAAAACATACCTGTTGCAGTCACCTGCCCATTTCTGCAAGGGCAAATGTACATTATTAACAATCAGCAATAGTGCTGTCATTTTTGAAGGTACTTTTAAATCAATTTCTTTCAATATTGGCCTTGTTCAGAATTAGAGGCTTATTAATATATATGTGAGGCTGTAAAGGTGTCTGGCTGTAAATATCAAGGTGGGAAAATAAATTGTTTAAGGTCATCTTAGCATAAGATACAACTAGTATATCGAAATTAGGAAATGGAGTAGAGGCAAAACATTTTTCATCTTGAATTTTTGTTTCTGCTAAACAAGCTGACATTCAATAATTTTAAAATCTAACGTTGGTTATGTAAAAATTGAAAAATACATATGCAATACCTGTTGCAACTTACACTTTAATAGAAGCCCATTTGCTGCGAACAGGAGTCTGTGGGTTTCTGTGCTGATGTAGTGCTTCTTGTAGTCAAAATGTTAAACCATGCATGTATTGTGCAGGTCTTCTATGAGAAAATGTCTGAATTTTTACCTTGGAACACTGGAATGATAAAGCACTTTTTATCTAAAATAGGGTCTGCTGTGCATTGCCTTAGAATATTATCAGTGTTACACAAATTGCTAATAACGCTTAGTGTTTTATACCAGCTTCTTTCTAAGTGAATCTGCACAGGGAGTGATTACATGCTACAGTGTAGGACTCCAGCATTTACATTTTAAAGCCATTTCTGAAACAAAAGTCTCAAAACATCCCTGTCAGTTGTTTCCACGCTCTCTCTTTTATTTTTCCTTGTCAGCCATCACCTGTATCAGTTTCTCCACTGGCCACCGAAGCTGTTGGAGAATTACTTGGAGCAAGTAAATGTAGCTCTGATCTTTAGGTGGACTTTGCAACTACAGGTCTCTGTGAACTGGACAAAAATAGATCTGCCAAGAAGACATTTTCTGGCTTTGGAAAGACAATGGGGACAGTTGTGACTGGAGTCAGCTGTGAGGGCCCAGTTGTGCTTCTGTCAACATGCAGCGGTGGGGCAGCACCTATGCTGGCTTTGTGCACTTATGGCAGAGGACAGAGGCTGCCTGGCTTGGTGTAATGCCTGCTGGAGTCCAGTTAGCCTACTGGAACCAGTAAAGGAATTTGAGCTGGCAGAGTAAGTCCACACAGTCTGCACTCTGCTCCATGCTGCCACAAGTCTTTTGATCTGCTGCATGGAGTGCTGCAGCCAGATTTATTATGTTATTAGACCATAGCAGCTGTCACTGGCTCGTCCCAGGTGTGTCAGCTATCTGGGTCCTGTGGCTGATGAGACGTGTTGGGTCACCGCAGCGCTTGCAGTACCTGCTCTGCTCTTGGGGAGCGGCGTCAGTCACCTGAGGTGTGGGGTGGCTGTTGCCAGAGCCAGCCGAGGCGTGCCGTCAGGGTCGTCGGTCACACATACCCACCAGGCAGAGCACTGGCGGCAGAGGTTTTGGTCAGAAACTGCCCACTGGAGCCAGCGCTCCGGTCAAGCAGCCAGCGCCTCGTTACCAGTAGTTCGGTTACGGCAGCCCTCTCGCTCACCCAAGATACCAGAACTGACAGAATTGTACCACAAGTGCAAGAAGTACTTTAGGCCAGAAATATTTTTAAGTTCTTTTGTACATGTAAAAATAAAATCAAGTTATATAGGTGACTAAAGCAGCTGTTAAAGCTGGTTTACCCACGGCATGACCTACTGCAGCACATTTTCACTGTTCCCTGCAGGTGGAGCAGTATGTTGGTGAAATTAAAGGTGGCCTGAGACCAGCCATGAAACTCACAGTCATAGGAATGATACACTCCAACCCCAAGAGGTAGGTGAAGGAGCTGGTGGGGCCATCACCCCTTCATACACACTCCTACCCGTCTTCTAAATTCAGAAGATTTCTTGAGGGTCTGTGCTCTTTGGAGGAAGAAAGTCAAACAGATTCATAATTTATGGCTTTATTTAGTTTTCTTGCTCTTAGACTAAGATTAAAAAGGCAAGAAAGAATTCACTGTTCAGCATTTCTGGCTGCCCTGTCAGGATTTTCTACTCCTTGTCCTTATCTAATACAAACCAGAGGGGGCACACAAGTGGCATTTCTCCTTCAGGAATATGTGCAATTCTGAACCTGCATTCTGTCTGTCTGCTGGAGGCTGGAAGCAACACCATTTAAAAACCAGTGGGTTTGGCACAGGAGATGCAGGTTCATTGCTGTGTTTAATCTGGATGACAGCAACTATACTTATCATTACACTTTTTTGCATCTACAGCAATCAACTCCAGTGCTTTCACTGTTGAAGGGTTTGCCATAACCTCTTTTAGGACACAGATTAGAATTGGCTCATGCACAAATGTTGGTTTGATTTCAATCACAAGAGAGGGAAAGCAACATCAGAAGTCATTGGCATCCTACTGGAAACTGGAGGAGAAACAAAGACCAGCCTGTTCTCATCCCTTTTTGCAGCTTGTAAGCCCACAGAAGTCTTGTGTTTCCATCTGACAAGAAATCAATGCCTGTCTCTAGTCTTTATAGGCATCTGCTGTGTTCACCGTGTCCTTTGACATTTCTGAAAGTCCCAGTCATTTAACTGTTTTTTCAGCTTTTCAGTGACTCTGCTCTGTGATCCAGTGGATGTAAACAAAGATGTTGGGCTGTTATTTACAGTTAACTTTAGTGACAAATCCATCACCCGAAATGCACGAATTGCTGGGAAATGGGGAAGAGAAGAGAAGACCATTCCCTATTTCCCATTTACAGCAGGCGACACATTTAAGGTAATTTTTGGGGTACTATGAGTAGGGTGGAGGAAAGGAGGGGAGAAAGGTTGAAGGCTATGTATATGACCACCGATAGCTAACTATTGGCACTGCCAGGTGAACTAGACTAGTATGGCACAGAGAACAACAGTTCAAGCCCTGATGAGAGAGATCCATTCCTTTCTCTAGTCTTAGTGAGAGAACTCACAATAAGGAGCTTTGCAGTATCATCTCAGCAGAGGGTAGGTTATTTATTAGGGGTATTTTAGAAGAACCAGTAGACTTTGTGCTTCACTATCCCCATCACATGGGGTTCTAAGTCCGTGCTGGTGAAATCAACTCTGCTGCTGATCTCTTAACACCTTCCCCTGTCCTTTTCCATTGCAGATGGAGCTGTTATGTGAACACCAGCAAATACGAGTCTTGCTTGATGGACGGCAGCTCTGTGACTTCACTCACCGCATTCAGCCCCTGAACTTGGTGAAAGCTTTGCAGATATCAGGGGACATCAAGCTTACCAAAGTGGCTTGAAAAAAAGGAGACCACAGCATCACCAGGGGACAGAGGCAAATGTACTTTCTCCTGTTTGAGAAATGTTTTCTCTTTTTCCCCTGGATGATTCTGGAGAGTGGGAACTGTATATTTTTAATTTGCTGATGTGTTTGAAATATACACTTTTTTTCTCATATACACTCAGCAACTGCAGAGCTATGTCTGGTCCAGGTAAATCAGAGAGCCTTCAGTGAATTATTATTTTGGCCTCCCAAACTGCAAGATTTATGATCCTGTGCAGTATCTCATGGTCCCCTAACCCCCCAGGCATGGTAGCTGGTGGAGCTCAGTCCTCCATGGTGGTGTGGATGTGACTTGTGTGACTAGAACTGGCCTGTATGCCGGTGGTAGGACTGGGAAAAGAGAAACAGGACATTTTTCTTATAAGTGAATAAGGGAGTCTGGTGATCCCCAGCAGGGCTCACGTTATCAGGAGGGAATTGCTTTTCCTGGAAGCTCTGCTCAATCAGCACAAAGCCACCTGTGCTTCCCAGTACAGAGGAATAAATGCCTTACCAGCATCCCTGTCTCTTGCAGGTAGCATTCTCGTGAACTGAAAGGTTTCAACAGCTGTGGATTTCACAGTCTTCTCTGGACCAGCGCTAGGAAATGGTGTCTGTAGCTGAAACTGCATTGCCCGTTCTTGTATCTAATAAAACTGCATCTTCGCTGGCAAACTTCTTTACCAGCTATGTTAAATATTTGAATGAACATGAGTGTTGTGCTGTTATTTCATTGCTGTAACTTTAGAAAAAAAATCCCAAATACATGGCTATTCTAATACATAGATAAACTTATATCATAGCTGCTGCCTTTGGCTCTGTTATGGTTGGTTGGTTATAACTCAGGATGAAGGGGAAAGTGTCTAGATGAAGAGACTTTTTTTCAGTGCATACCTTGGAGAACAAAAAATCTGCAAAGAGGTGGTTCTGTGGATAGAGAGTTGTCAAATTCCTCTATGACTTCAGGGAAGATATAGAGCATGCTGTCTTCAAAGAGCTTTTGGAGGCTCTGTAGAGTCTGACTGGCAGATACAGGTCCACAGATAACATGAGGAATTTTATGAAAATAGTATATCAGCAGGCTAGCTGGATGTTTTAATCATCTCATACATTCCATTCTACCCTCTGGTGTTGTGGAGAATGTTTCAGTTTCTATGTAAATCAAAATTTACAGTGTATGAAACCATTATTTTCATATCCTCAAACTCTGATAAAAAGTCATGTCTGAAGAGCATGGGAGATTCAAATGCAATGAACTGTTTTTTTTTTATTATTTAATGATATAAAAGTCAAGTTTACTGACAAAAAATGGAAAATGTAATAGTGCAAAATATAAAAAGCAATAGTCAGAACTGCTAGTAGAGTTCTCAGTCCCAATGGTGCGCCATGTAAATGGACTTATGGTGATAATCAGGAAGAAAAGTCTTGCTTTTATGGCTGAGTGATTTCTTCCAATATATTCAGCACCAGTGATCGTCTGGAATAACTTCCACTGTTGGAGTTTGATACTCATGATCCTGTAGTGCTATGGGCCATTACCAGCACAAGAATAATCTATACACTGGAGTGAAGGATCCTTTGGTCTTTTCCAGCCTAACAGAGGACCAAATGGTAGAGCAGCTGGATGGACAGACAGACCTCTGCTTTGCTTTGTAATAGTGATTATCCTGGCAGCTGGACTGTGGCTTAGCACAAGACTCTTACGGTATACCAGGAATGGTGGCCTCAAACACCAGGACCTTTCATGCCTTTGATTCAGTCAGTCTTAACTAATTAAGTTTATAAGACCCTTAATAAAGGGAAAAGGAACAAGACACTTCTGCTTTAGGATAAAGCACAACCTGGATCTGTCAGATATAGACTGAATACAAAATAATTAATTTCTTCCTTCTTGGAATATTATATCTCATTGTTTCTCTATAAAGCCCAGCTTGTCTGTATCCACCTGTTGTGTTTTGTCTCTTGGTTAGATGGCAAGTTCTTGGTAGTGAATTATTCTGGATGAGTTATTACATGACTCCTTGGCACCTAGGATGCTGGTCTGCCAGGAATTGCTAGGTGCTATGGCGATACAAATAACAAAAATAGACTATCTAAGGGAAAAAACACACTCCTAGACAATGAGATCAGGAAACTTGGTCACAAATGTGACTTGTCATTTGACATGGAGTCTACCTTACTCATGTCAGTGGTTTGATTGCCTCAATCCACTGTGCTCGCTCTGCCTTGGAGCTGGCCTGGATATAATAATGAATGTCATTTTTGGTGATGATTTTGAAGAGGTTGCCCTGCACATTTCCCTTCACTCCTGCAGAGGAAAAAGAAAGGCAGAACAGGAAAGTGCACAGAGAAATGTTTTATGGCAGTTATGAAGCTTCATAGGGAAGAATATTGATTTAGTGAATGAAGGTATCAGACTTTTCCATTTCATTATGGATAAGACATCTAAAGCTCTTGTGTCTTTGATTTCCCTTCTGCAAAATAAAGATGTAGTATAGATATCTCTCACATAGACTGTGTGAACTACTGTGTACTATGCATCATATATAAAATACCTGCTGTTTAGATGGAAAATCTTACTTGAGTTGTACAGTGGAGGGATGAGTTCCCTACCAGTTTGTGCAGTAGATCAGATTTGCTCCTTCCTACCTTCGGGTTCCTCATGCCCCTCCGCATCCATGCCCCACCCATATCTTTTTCAGACCCTGTCTTTTGTCTTTAGAAAGATGCTCCCTATTTGAGATCCACACATTGTGCTTATTGTCATGAAATAAATTGCTTTAACAGTAGAAACAATTACCTGTGATGCTGAGGTTCTAGACAAATGCCTAAGCTAAGCATATTGACTAGCAGAACTGTTGTTTGTATTGCTGTCTTTATGTCTCCCCTACATTTGGGTTCTAACAGATCAAAAAGGAAAAGGTAATAAATAGCAAGAGAGGACACACAGAAAAGGGGTGGCATCAGGAATTACCTCAAGACTTTGAGTTAAACAACATCCAAAAAGAAGGCTTTTCCTGTTTGTCTGTTAAGTCTGGAATATTAATCAGTGTCTTAGAACTCTCTCAGAGGTCATCTGACTGAGAAAAGCCCATAAAAAGGGGAACACCCAAAATAAGTGAAAATAATGCTAAAAAAATCCCTTCTGTTATGGACAAGCCAGCAGTACGGGGATTTTTTATGATATGCCTCTTCCCTTGCTTGCAAGGGGAGAGGAAAAGCCAGCCCACTTGTGCATACAGACAGCCAAACACACAAACCTATACCCAAAGACTGTATTGCTATGGCATAAATACGGATATAAGAAAGTTTAGAGGCTCATGCTTACCTGCTGGAACTCCGTTGTCCTCCAGAGCTGAGACAAGACAGCCACGGAGAGAAAATCCACCTACTGGCCTGTTTTCTTCCTGCAGAGAAAAAGGAAATGAAGCTTATCTGAAAAATACCATCATTAGAATAATTTCTCAGAGCACGTCAATTATTTTTATGAAGGTGGAGATGTAATGCCACTCTTTCCAAATATAAAATATCTATGTCACAAGAAAAGTCAATTAGGACATGTAATTAAATGCATTACTATGTTATTTCAGTCTCAGATGTTTTTCTGATGTAGCTTGGAATGATGGAGATCAATTAAAAGCGCAAGGGTAGGCTAACATTTCAAACTTAGTTTAAAGTCTTATTGATAGTCTTATCAATAACAACCCATATTAAATTATATATATATTTATGTAAGTTTTTAGCTTTCTACTTTTCACTGAGACTGTATAGGAAAAATTTGACTGTTTTCACTAGTAGGCTGGCTCTCCTGTCTGATCTTCAGGTTCTGCAGTTTGAATTTATAGCATTACAAGGGTGAGTTGCAGTGCAAAAAAAACCCCACAAAGAAACAAGCAACAAAAAAAGAACCAGCTCCATAAGCTCTTTTCACTGTTTTGTTGTTTGTGTTTTCTTTAAAAGTCACATAGAACATTGCTATACATGTTCTTTTAGCAACCTGTTGGGCTTTGTGGTATCCTATGGATCTGGGGCTGATGGATCCACATGCCCTTCGGGGTTGCTTACATTAATTATTTTATCCATGAAGATAAATTCTACTATTCCCTGAGCAAGTTTAAAACTGAGTAGCAGAGAATCCTATAAATACTTCAGCATCAAGGAGACCCCATTCAGTGTTGGAATAAGAACATAAAAAAATCCTAATAGCAGTATGACCCTCAAGTAATGGGGTGTCAGTCCAGGAAAAATCCCTGCAGGAGCATGGTCCTAGACTGTGGGTACAACAAAAGAGCAATCCCAAGAAGACTACTGCCCCTCGGCTAAGAAAAATTAATCTCACCAGGGAAAAGACAGGAAGGAAGATGCAGGGATAGAAAATCCTACAAGGACACCCTCCCAGGGTAAGGCCGGAGAGGTCTCATTCCCCAGGAAATGAATAAAGAAACCCAGAAGGAGATTTGGGTGAGAGAAACATTTACAGCATAATTGTATTTTCATTATAATATTTAGGTCTGTAAGATGATTTCTGAGTGTAGTAACTCCCCACTCACATACCTTAGTGGGGTCATAGTAGTGCAAAAAAGCAGGATCAGCTCTCAGAACAAATCTCCTCACCTTCCAGTTTTTCCTCTTATGCCCCTGCAAAACAGAAGAATTAAAGTTACCCCCAGCAAATACCTCCTGAAATGGCCATTTTCCTGCAGGTTCTAGAAGAGACCTAAATAGGTACCAAAAGAAGAGATTTTGGAGCCAACAGAAAAATTTTTTCTGACATCTTAATAACTCCCAGGATTTTCTGCTTAACATCCTTCCTCATACATTAATAAATCCCTCCTCTCTCTCTTCCTTGTGCTGAGAACTAAGAAAGCACAGTGCCAGGACCAAGTGATTATATCCCTGATTCCTGTTCTTAATTTCATATTAAATACAGGTCTTGGATTAAAAACCCATGCTGTGTGTGCTTTGAAGGGATTATGTCAGGTCCTTCTGCAGCAATTCACTCTCTCGCCCCCAGCCCCCTCAGCTGCTGGCAGTGCAGGACAGCACTGCAAGCCTGTGCCAAGCGCTGAGGGCATCTCCCCTCCTGGAGGTTTGGGGCTGGAGCTGCTGGGGGCTGCCCTGTACTGCTGCTAACCATGGGGAGAGTCTCCTGGGCAGCTCTCATGCCCTGTGGTGATGGGGGGGCTGCCCTGCCAGACCCATGGGGATGCCCCACAGCAGCTCCTGGCACGCAGCGCCCCACCAACCCTCGCTGCACCCTGGCAGCTGGAGGAGAGAGGGTTGGGGACCATCTGACAATCCAGTTTGCACAACATTAAAATTGCAGCTCAGGGTACAGAGCTCCAGAGCAGAAATGTGGCCATGCGGTGCAGGTAGGGTTCCCTCTGCAGGTGCCTGTGTTATGCTTTGAAACAGCACGACTGATCCTCCTCTTGTTTGTAGCAAGGGTCAGAAACTAAATCTTGCAGACTAGGGGTGGGATCCTGTAAATAATTACTGCCAGCAGGTAACTGTGCCCAAAGAAAATAGGTCTCACCACCACCAGAGCATCCATGTGTACATGAGTGACTGTGCACAGGTAAATGTCCACTTCCTGCAAAAGTCAATCTACACAGCTTTGAAATTTGTCTGCGGCCAGCAGAATGTCACAGCTGCTCCCACGTCCCGATGGGATAGGTTAAACCAGAGGAACAGTGAGTCTGCTTGGAAGTGAATGTAACACCTCTGGTGGGATTTTGAGTTTGTGTGGAACTTCTGTTTTTGATATTATTTTATACATTTCAGTATACACTCAGTATATACAGAATATCCAATTAATCCTGCCTGATCAGCAAGTTCCATAGCTCACTTCTTTATAACTAGATACTCTTCACCACTTGGTCTCTGAGAGTAGTACTAACAGGCAAGTTAGCTCTGCTGGCCACAACTCTCCAGCTGTGCTTGTATAAGTCACATTTATTCTCTAGGAAGCCCTAAGAGCTATCATTTTTCTTGTTTCCCTGTGAAGGTTCAAAGACTGTATTT